AAAGAAAGAAAGAAAGAGAGAAAGAAAGAAAGAAAGGAAGGAAGGAAAGAGGGCTGGCTGGTGATGTGGCTCAGGCAGGGGAGCCATGTAGTGTTTGCCTGGCACCCATGAGTCCCTTAGCTCAATTTCCAGTACCAGAAAAAGAAAACAAACAGCTACCCGAGGCTGGAATAACAAAAGAATTGGGGAAAATCTGAAAAGGCCTTACCTGTATTTGCACAGCATGCATTCATAATAGATCTTGTAGTGAATTGTGTAGTTATGGCAACGGGTGACCTTAGGCAGTTCTGGGTGTACTGAATTGCATTTTTGAGCATAATATTGCCATGAGATACCATGGGAATCCCGGATGCCATCAAGCAGCCAGGAGGCTGCATGGCATATTTCATGGATCAAGGTGTCCCGGATTCGATCTTGAGAGAAATGAAAAGGAACTGTCAGCACTAAAATGAATTTTCTTCTGATCTACTATCCCACAAGCCCTTGACTTTCACCCCCACCAAACACAAGGCTGTCTCACAGAAAACACAGTCAGCTGCAATTGTTGCTTCTTAAGTGGTCAGGTTTTTGGGGAGCAGCTCCAGCATGTTCATCCTTCTGTGGGACATTGCTAGAAATGTACCTGGATGAGGCTTGGTTTCTTCACTCTTGGGACAAAGGTGGGCTCTGGAGGTATGTATGGCCATGCGATTTGGTGAGCAGAAGTTTGGGGTAAGATAAGAGATCTAAACTGGGTTCTTTTTTGAAAAAATTAATTACATTTATTTATTGCGTGTGTGTGTGTGTGTGTGTGTGTGTGTGTGCGCGCGCGCGTGCGCGCGCGCGCACGCGTGCGCACACATACATGCACATGCATGTGGAGACCAGAGGATAACTTGTGGAAGTCAGTTCTTCCCTTCTACTACGCAAGTCCTGGAGAGCAAACTCAGATCAGCAGGCTGGATGGCCCTGAGCCTTCTCACCACCCCCCCCCCCCGAGCTAGACTCTTAATAACTGAGTGAATTTAGAATTAGAAAGGTTATTTAAGTCCATACATGACCTTTAACCCCAGCACTTGAGAGGATGAAACAGGTGGATGACCCTGGGTTAGAGATCAGTCAGCATTACACAGCGAGATCCTATCTCAAAACAACTTTGCTTTTGTTTAAGTATTTTTTCTTATGGATTTTTTTGTTTCTTTGTTTTGATTTTAGTTTTTTGTTTTCTTGTTGGTTTTTTTTTTTTGAGAGAGAGAGAGAACACAGGCAAACATACATAAAGTTGGGTGGGAGGATCTGGGAAGAGTTGGGGGAGGGGAAAGAACATGATCAAAATATATTGTATGAAAAATATTTTTTAATTAAAAATAAAAAAAACAGCAGCCCACTTCTGTAATCCCAGCACTGAAAGGCTGAGGCAAGAGGACTATACAAGTTCAGGGTCATCTTGAGCTATATAGTATGAGGCCAGCCAAGGCTACACTAACCCGTACCCTCACCCTCCCTACCAAAAGGTGGCCATTCAAAGCTGAGTTGGGGGGCAGACACCTGTATGTAGTTCTAGTTACTCAGAAAGCTGAGACGAGAGGTGTGCTTGAGTCCAGGGGTTCAAGACCAGCCTGGACAATATAGCAAGACACCATATTAGAAACAAGACAAAACACTTGATTCTAAAAATCTGTTATCGCTGCTATTTGATGGCATACTACTTACACAGCATGTGTGAGACTCTAGTCTCCAATATGGTGGGAACATTGAGGAGAAGTCAAACAAAATGTAAGTAATGTTTGGATCTAGAAAACCATGGGCTGCATTTTGAGAACCAATGGGCAAAGAATGGATGAACCATGGGCTATCAGTGAGCAGAGAAGCCAGGTGAAGCACACGAAGCAGGAGCAGACTAAAACGGCCTTGAAAACCAGGCTCTGAGCAGGAAAGCAACATGGTGGCACACACACAAAAACTGAGGGAACAGGAGGAAGGGGTAAGTGACCAGACTTTAACAAATGAAAAACTGGAGGAGGGGTTAATGTCTGGCTAGAGCGAGCATCTTGACCCTTGGCAATTGAGAGAAAGGAGACGCTGGCTTTGGCAAAGGAAATGTGCAGATGGGCCCGGAAAATACATTGGATTCCTAGGAATGATGAGACATCTAATAATGATGTCCTCTAAGCAACATACAGAAGACCTACCCACATGGAAATGACAGTTCAAAGCTGTGACATAGGTTGCCAGGGATGAGTAATTTAACAGATCAGAAGGACAGGGTGCTAGGGTAAAGCCACCACATTCCTGGAATCACCTGCAGAGTCGCAAACTTTCGGAGAAATTGAAATCTTAGCATAGCGCTGCCTCTTGGGTTGTTTTATCTCATTGGTAGTGCATAAACCAGCAGTCCGCAGCATCTTTTTATTCCAAATGATTTCTATTTTCTCTGGCAACTGAAAATGAAAAGCAAACAAAAGTACCAGAAAGCAGTTCTAAAGGTTTACTTTTTTAAAATGTATGTGTATGTATATATGCCTGAGTTTATACGTACCACATGTGTACCAGAAGAGAGTGTCAGGTCCCCTGGATCTGGAGTGATAGAGCAGTTGCGAGCTGCCAAATGCATGCTGGGAACCAAACCTGGGTCTGTTGCCAGGGCATTAAGTGCTCTTAACTACTAAGCTATCTCCCTAGAAACAACTCATATCAGAAAATAAGAACAAGAGTTTTTCTCCCTCTGATAAAAAGCAAGAGGACATGCCAATGTGGACGAAGAAAATTTCACAAGGCGCCACCCCTAGATGAAAAGCCACAGGCAATAAATAGCTGTCCTGCAGAAATAATCAGTTTTTTCTCCAGCAATGAACTCTTATCGGCTATACAATCCCAAGAGGTCTGCTCTAAACACATGTACATAGGAGCAACACTAAAAGGACTCAGTAGGTTTTACACATACTACACACACACACACACACACACACACACACACATAAAAAGGTCATTAATTTGAGAGGTGGAGATATAGGAAGAACAGGGGATGGTAGAAATGATACAAAGATAGTATTCACATATGAAATTCTCAAAAAATAAAAACAAAGTAAGAGGAACTGTCTCCTACATTCTTGACTCTGAGTACATGAGTTGTTGAAGAGAAATTTATGCAAATAAAATACAAATCTAAACATTGAAGTCTTGGGAATAACAATTAATAGGTTAATCAGGATGCAAGGAAGGAGATTTTTAAGGTCACACAAATGTAAGGATTTTGTGCACAGATACATGGATCCAAGAAGGGGGCAGTCAAGGAGAGAAGTACAAGCCTATTAAGGTAGGCAAGCATCTCCTCAACTTTTGGGTTCCACTCATGTGCTACAACATCGCTGGCACGAGGGAGGGTACCAAAGGCTACAGGACCTTCAGGATATAAGAACTTCCCTCTGCAAACCTCTTCAGCAGAAGACTATAACAATGGATTAAACAACAAACGATCTACGGGTGATGGTACAGCTCAGGGGCAGGGTGCTTTCCTGGCATGCAGGAAGCATGGCAAGAAATAAAAGAGCCCAAAATGAACAAACAAGAGAAGTGGCCAGAAGGTCTCTACCTCTGGATTTTCTAATCCAGTCCATACCACCAAGCTATTGGCAGATGGATGACATTCAGCAGTAGCTTCCTGTCGCACATTCCTGTGCACTGGTACCTACCAATTTAAATTTAACTTCTCCTAACCTACTTGCCAAGACCATCTAAGACCAGAGAACAAGGGCTCGCTGTGCCTAGGCCCTGTTGAAGCACTTTATGATTATGGAAAAATTGTAGTCTATTAGTAATTCCGAGGTAGTAAGTACAATGGGCCTTGTAACCCTGAGTTCTGTACCATGGATTCAACAAACTGCAGATCAAAAAATGACTACAATTTATTACATAAATGTACAAAACTGCCAAATAATAAAAAATGACAAAAACATGCATTTGCTAGAAATATACACAGAGGAGGGTGAGCAGAGGACATTTTATATAAGGGATTTGAGCACCTGTAGATTTTGCCATTTGTTGAGGGGTACCAGAACCCGTTCCCTGCAGGCACAGAAAGATGACTGTACTAATATTAGCCTCATTTTACAGGAGACATGGGTAAAATGAGGCTAAGCAACTTGTCCAGCTCCTTCTCATCATCTTCTTTACCTTATCACATGTCCTTTCCCTACTGCCGTCCTCAGTACAAACCATTTAAGGAGCAGGAGCCTCATGCCTTTCAGGAAATCCTATTTTCTGACTTCTCAGACTTTTCAGCCATTCTCCCTGTGCTAATCTCCTACTGTAATAGCCATCTGTTCAAATATACAACCAAAACAAGTTCTCTTTCACATAAGCATTCTCTCTCATGTTTGCTAAGTCCAAAGTGCCCCCCCTCCAATACAGCAGTGCTGGTGACCATGTCCTAAACAGAAGGACTCTAACTGGGTAAACAGAAGAGTATTGGGTAAGGGCATCTAGTTCCTGATTAATCTGAACAGCCTATATCAGCACAAAGACCCCTACCTGCTGACTATCATACAATCTGCTTGCTTTTCCACTGTTTTGCTTCTCTCTGCTCCCCTGAGAGAGAGCCTTGGCAGTTTGACCCCCAAGAAGTCCTCCTTTTCTACCCATGGAGTGGTCCAGGTCTATTCGAACTAACGCAGCTCCAAGACATGAAGTAGACATGGTTAGTGCAGCAGCCAAGCATGCTGGTGTACGAGAGGTATTCAATAGATACTTATTCTTTGATTCTACCTTTCCATCAAAGACAGTGTGGTTAAGTAGCATGTAGATTTTCTGAGCCAGTTCTTCCTTACTGCGTTTGAAATTCCTTCCAGAATACTCTTTTAACTTCTCAATGTTATTCAAGAAACATCCAGGAATTTTGCACATACGTTTCCTGCAAAGGTAAATTCAAGTGAATTTTTCATGGCTAAAGAAATAGGAGAAGACATGCATAAAGGTCTAAAAACTTGCTGTTCTTTCCTTCCGGCTCATTCTATATGAACATTTATTTCCCAGACTTCCATTCATAGTGTTTCTCTTTACTCTTGGCACACATTCTCAAACATGTGAGGCCAGGTTTCAACCTCAAGGCTGATAACCACACCTACAGCTTCAGTCTCTGATGTTTCTGATTCTACAGTCATTCAATGCAAATTCCCAACAGATTTATGAGTCTATCTTTAGCCTAACAGGCTCCATAATGAAAATTCTGTCACAACTGACAGAAAACCTTGGAGGCATTTTAAATCCATTTTCCCTTACCCTGTGTTCAACTGGAATGTGAACTGATATCTTCTGACTGTGGGCTCTCCTGGGCAGCATCTGCTTTGCAACTCAGGTTCCCCTCTCTCAGGTTCACCTCTCTCATCAAGTCCTGCCTTCCCCTTCATACAACAGCACTCTATAACTACCAGGCTCTTTTCATTCTAACCCAGTACCCACTCACCTCCAGATTCACTTTGTTTCCTTCTGGCTTTTCCTTGATCAGTTGGCCTGGTATTCAAGACTTGAGTCAATGTGGTTCTAGCCACTGTTGCCAGCTACCACTTCTACTCTGCTCAAAGTGGGCAACTCAAACATTCCCTGGAGTTAATGATTTCCCATTTTTTGTGCTTCAGCATCAACTCTTTCCCATGAAACAGAGTGACCCATCTCTGCCTTTCCTGAGAACCACCAATGGCATTTTAGTATTTGCAAAGAATCTCTCTTTGCATCATATTTAATCCTTACAACCACCCATCCAAGAAGTTATCATTGTTTTTTCCCATCTCTATCTTGCAAATGAAGACACTAAAGCTCAGGTGTCTGACCCAAAAGTCAGAGACAATGGATCTTCTGACCCAAATCCTCAGTCTTTCCATTAAACCATGATTGGGCTAATGCATGCTCAGTCACTACTGATGTAAATAGAAGTGGGTTTTTAAAATTTGCTTTTTAGTGTTTGGGGTTTTTTTTTGTTTTGTTTTTTGTTTTTTGTTTTTCGAGACTTCGAGACAGGGTTTCTCTGTAGCTTTAGAGCGTGTCCTGGAACTAGCTCTTGTATACCAGGCTGGCCTCGAACTCACAGAGATCCGCCTGCCTCTTCATGTACCACCACCGCCCAGCTTTTTAGTGCATTTTTAAAATTTATTTTACATCCCGACTGAAGTTTCCCCTCCCTCTTCTCCTCTTCCCCTCTGCCCCAATCCACTCCTCCTCTATTTCTGTTCAGAAAGGGGCAGGACTCCTATAGGTATCAACAAATCATGTCATATCAAGGTAAGGTAAGACTAAGCACCTCCCCTTGTATGAAGCATGAAGAACAGGTTCCCAAGAGCCGGTCAAAGTGTTAGGAACAGGCCCTGCTCCCATTGTTAGGAGTCCCAGAAGTAGAGCAAGCTACACTGCTGTGGAATATGCTTTTACACTGTGTGAATATATGTCACTGTGATTGATTTAATAAGGAAGCTGATTGGCCAATAGCTGGGCAGAAAGAGATTGGGCTAGAGAGCCAGACTAGGAGACTGTTGGGAGGAAGAAGGAGAGTCTGGAGTCTGGAGTCTTCAGCAGAGACAAAGAGAAACAACATGAGCATGCCATACTGAGAAAAGGTACCAAGCCATGTGGCAGAGTGGAGATAAGAAATACAGGTTAATTTAAATGTTAAGAGTTAGCTAGCAACAAGTCTGAGCTATTGGCCAAGTGTTTACAATTAATATTGAGTCTCTGCATCAGTTATTTGGAAAACAGCTTCGAGACAGGAAACTCCACCTATATTAACTACACAACTGTAACATATATGTAGAGGGCCTATGTCAGTCCTATACAGGCTTCCTGATTGTCAGTTCAGACTCTTTGAGTCCCTATGAGCCCAGGTTAGTTGTTTCTGTGAGTTTTCTTGTGATGTCCTTGACCCCTCTGGTGTCTACAATCCTTTCTCCCTCTGGAAGTGTTTTTGTTTGTTTGTTTGTTTTGTTTTTTAGGAGATAGGCTCTTGTCACATAGGCAAGGCTGGCCCCAAACTCGTGGGAATCATTCTGCCTTTTCCTTCCAATTGCTAGGATTTACCATATGTGCCATTATACCTGGAGGAGGCTTTTAAAAAATCATGGCTAGAGCAAACCATAACTAGATAGAGAAGTCCACAGAGCTAGAAAAATGAACTGCAACACAGTGAGTTTGGCTTCACAAGCTCACATTTTTGCTTTAACACTAGATATGTAACAGCAAAGGCAGATGACAACCAGTATCATCTGTCAGATGCAGCAGAGAATGGGATCTATGTGTCTCCTCAGAGAAAGCTAGCCTTTAGACTTCTTAGCAAACTTTCCTTCAAAGCTTGTGCACCCCACATCCAAACTAACAACAAGCAGCCTAGACAAGAACTATGGGCAGCACTGCAGGAGGCTCTCCGAGAAATGAAGTAGAGTAAGATAGTAAAAATTCAAACAGGCTAGTCACCTTCGGATAGGGTAGTGACAAGGACACCAAGAGGCAGCTTCTCCTTTCTTCTGTCAGTCTCTAGCAAAGCAACCTTGCTATTATCAAAACAAGCAGTCCTACAGACAAAGCAGCTTAAACAAGGATGTAGAAGCTGGGCATGGTGGTGCACACCTTTAATCCCAGGACTTGGGAAGCAGAGGCAGGCAGATTTCTGTGAGTTCAAGACCAGCCTGGTCTACAGACCAGAGTTAAAGGGCAAGTTCCAAAACTACAGAGAAACCCTGTCTCAAACATCCCCCCTCAAAAAAAAGTATATAGAATCCAGAGATGAAGCCTTGTTGGTGGAGGGGTCCAAGAGCAAAATGGTAAACTGTCTCAATCATCTCAGCCACCAAAAAACACAGGGACATAGTCTTTTATCTCAGATCTAAGCTGACCTCCCCTACCCAACGCCTGACATACCAACTCTTTTCCCCTTCCCCTCCCTGAAGACAATTTTTCTCCCAAAATATAAGCTTAAGAGTATCACCAAGCTGAAGTAGTCAGTTCCATCCCCAAGCACCACAAAACAAAAAAACCACAAAAAATCAAAATGCTTACACATACACACACACAAAGATGCTTCTTCAGATATACTTTCTCTTTTTCTTTTTTTTCCACCAAGACAGGGTTTCTCTGTGTGTGGCTCTGGCTGACCTGGAACTCTCTGTAGACCAGGCTTGCCTTGAACTCAGAGATCTGCCTTTCTTCTCTTAAAATAACTCAGATGTAGCCAGGCAGTGGTGGTGCACACCTTTAATCCTAGCACTCAGGAGGCAGAGACAGGCAGACCTCTGAGTTTGAGGCCAGCCTGGCCTACAGAGCGAGTTCCAGGACAGCCAGGGCTACACAAAGAAACCCTGTCTTGAAAAACAACAAAAGATAATTCAGATATAAGTTTGCATTACCCCTGAATGGAAGTAAAGCAGGAGATAAAAATTGAAAATCCTATTTTGAGGGGAAAAGTGAGATTTTAAGAATCTAAATGAGAAAACGTAGCAACTTCTAGCTTAAGTATTAACATGTCTTTGACTCATGCAATCACTTGTTTTTAAGAGCTTCCTTTAACTCTTAAGAACTTCAATAAGCCGGGCGGTGGTGGCACACGCCTTTAAACCCAGCACTCGGGAGGCAGAGGCAGGTGGATCTCTGTGAGTTGAGGCCAGCCTGGTCTACAAGAGTTAGTTTCAGGACAGGCTCCAAAGCTACACAGAAACCCTGTCTCAAAGAAAAAAAAAACCAACAACAAAAAAAAAATCTTCAAACAATCTCCTTTACCCTAGCCCTTTTTTCTGAGTCAAGGACACTTTGAAAATTCACAGAAGGGCTGGAAAGATGGCTCAGCGGTTAAGAGCATTACCTGCTCTTCCAAAGGTCCCGAGTTCAATTCCCAGCAACCACATGGTGGCTCACAACCATCTGTAATGAGGTCTGGTGCCCTCTTCTGGCCTTCAGGTATACACATAGAAATATTATATACATAATAAATAAATATTAAAAAAAAGAAAATTCACAGGATAGCATTGAGGCAGCTCAGTAGCACAGTACTTCACAGCATGTTCAAATCTAAGGATTCTAACCCCAATCCTGCCAAACAAAACAAAACCCAAGAATACACACAAAAGTAAGGGGAAATGTGTTCATGGAAAAACCTGGAAGTCATTTTTAACTACCTTCCCTCCGATCCCAAATCAGAACATGTAGGCTCTTTCTCCACTGTAATTACTTACTTCGCTGCTTTTTGAGGTAAGGGTATCAGGTAGCTCAGTCTGGCCTTGAACTTGATTTGCAGAGGGTGGTCTAGAACTCCTAATTGTCCTGCCTCTGCCTGCCGAGTGCTAGTTTTAATGTGTCATCACATCAACTGTGTTGGCTTATTAAGTGCAAACTGATGACCATCAGGCCGTGTCCAGCCTAAAACTTTGGCTACATATCCATCTTTGTCCTGATTTTAAGGACAAAGGAAACTTTAGAGGCCAGAGCTGCTGTGAGGGTGAAGGAAGCACACTCTGCCAGGTAACTGCTAGAATTTAAGTAGAGCACACAGGCCTGGTCCTTTGGCTGGATGGCTAGGGGTAGAGGTGGACACCATGACAACACACAGGATCAGAAGATGACCTCATCACTCTGCATGAACATGCCCACTTAGGGTCAGAAACTTTCATCTAAGCAGACTCCTGTTCAACCCCTGGGAGTCTCCACTATCTCCTGGATACTGGAATCAAATCCCATGCAAGTGAGTGCTTGAGCAGTGCACATGCCCAGTCTTTGCAATTTTCAACTTTTGCTGCAATGGGTTTCTTCTAGAAGGCCCCCAATTTTTTTGCCCACTGTCAATTAAAAAAGATAATAGTTGACTGTACCCTGAACATCAGTATCATCAAGCAGCTGACAGAAAGGGAAGCTCAAAAAGAGCTCTTATAGTGGGGTGAT